CCCTTTCAGGGTTTATCTTATTTTCCGTAGAGCTTTGTGTTTGAGGTCTGCTAACTCTTCTCCACATATTGTCACAAATAAATAGCACCTTTACTGTACTTTGAAATGATTGCTTCTGTACAAAAACGTGGATTATCCTATATATCGCCCAATGATTTATGTAGGTCTAAAAGGCCTAGGAACTAAGATAACCTGAATTAAAAGCTTACTGATATACTATAATAATAATTATGGAAAAATAGGAGTGCCTTGATTTTTGATGTGGTTGATAATATTGTCGAATACTCACAGACGTGCCTGCAACTCTTGGATTCTGCATCACTTGATTAATAAGATTATAGCTCCTATTTATGCTTGGTGCTCCTAGTATATTTACGTAATAACTGGGATATATTTATTTTGGTTCACCAGACTAAAAAGCCTTATTATCGGTAATAGCTTAATTTATTGTTTTTTAGCATTCAAATCGAGTGAATGATATCAGCATCGATGAGCCTGGCGATTTCATTATCAGTTGTTCGAATGATGGCCGTGTAAGCTAAGATATTCTATTAAAATAATGTGATATGATCTTATTTTCTATATTATGTTGTTATTTCCTTATGTCTAGGTTGTTACATATTCTCTATCTGAACCAGGGCAAGCGCAATTTATTAAATTTTCTTACCAAATCAAGTCAGTGGCTATTGCTCCAGATTACTCCAAGTCGCGCCAGTTTGCAGTTGGAGAGAGTAAGGTAACATATCTGACTGTTTTTCATTGAACAAATGTTTTCTTTTTCATACATAACGTTTATCATATTTATTTTTAGCTTATTCTTATATCAAAAGGAGTTCTCTCAAAGATTAAGCGAGAGGAGCTGGCTGTAACCAAAGGTGTGATTACCGTGATAAAGTGGCATGGAAACTTCATCATTTGGGCAGACGATGCTGTTAGTTTATTAAAGCTTTTTAATATTATTTCTCATTTTGGGTCTAATGAGCCAAGATTACCAGTAGATTTGTATATCTCTCGAATTTGGGAAAATTCACTGTTGTTATAAAAAGTGAGACAGTTTATTATTAAATTTCGCTTTCGTTGACACTAAATATAGCTTTCTATCTGTACTTTAAATTTCTAAATGAGATATAAACCCTGAACATGGAGCTACATAGAGGAATACGCTACTTCTAGGTCAAATCCGATTTTCCATAGTATTCGTTATTTCTTGAACATAGGACTAAAATAATTCCATAAGGTCTCCCTGGCGCTTTGACCAAGTTGCGAAAACGAGGTCGAACCAACACTATAAAGCTAAATGAGACTGCGACCAAACAGAAGGCCACACCATCTTGGTCTTTATAGCTACGATCAGCTTACTAAAAATTATCAGGATACAAGGACGCAAATTAGATTGTGCAAAATTTGGCTCACTCAATTTGGTTAATTTTTCGCCTTTGATTAAGTTTTGTTGATTGGAACGTTTTATTACCTCTTACACATGTGTCTTATACTACAGTGAGCATGAAGGGATTCATTATTCAACTTCTTTCTAGTTGGGTCTCGATTTATATAGACAGTCGACATCGCATCGACGAAAGTTGGATGTTTTTTTTAATTTCACTTATTTTGTACAAGTATTGATGCAAACTCCCATACCTTACAGTTTGCTTTAATCTCAGTAACCTGTACCACCAAAGAAATGATTGAATAAGAACTTTAGTCACTCTAGGCCACTTAGGGTTGTTTTAGGACTGATATTAGAATTTCCCACGATGAAATGAGCAGACATTATTAGGCCATTGGTTTTCATTTGGTCTTGCTTTCCAAAAAGTTTTCTCATTTAACTTATCTTTAGTTTTGACCTCACTTGGGTCTGATCAGCATCCCTTACGGGATTTGAGACTGTCTTGTGAATGAAGTGGCGATACGTTAACACATCGTCACGCAGCCACAAGTGCAAATGTGTCACCGATCAAATGTGACTTCTAGGGCAAGCCAGATATCTCCGATATCATATTTATAGTGTGCTTTTCGATGAGGCATATTTGTATTTGCCATTTAAATCGACTACCTTACTTATTTGCCATGAAATTTTGTTTTAAAACTATAGGAAACTCCAACTAATGGACAAGGACCTTAATCATCTTAGACTTGCTAAGGTGATTCAAGAATGGATAATTGAATTTCTCAAAATTTAATAATTACTGAGAGTTTCTAATCATACCTAGATATAGCATAGGTAACGTCATCTTTTGTAATGGGAAATACATGTCTGTCTCGTCGACAATTTTACTGTAGATGTCATTTTGTTTTATCAGTTTACATTATAAATGGCACTTTTTCGAAAAAACGGCATTTTTTTATCATGCTTTAGGCCTGAATACATGATTTTGCATTCGTTAATTATTAGCATTTATCTTTAATTTTTGTTGTGTTCTTATAGGCAATTAGAGGGATTTGCATAATATTTTACTCAAATGATATATAATTACCATTTCAAGCGCCTAAGAACTATTTTTTGTAGTTCAAATTGTCTTGCTGATACTGGCATACCTTTCATTTAGTTTAAAAAGAC